GATGTGTCACTAACTCTTCTTGAGAGGTCACCCAGCCATTATAGCTTTCTCACGGTCACTGTGTGTCCTGGACCAAGCACAAACTTATTCTTCCCCTTCTGTAAGGAATAGTAAACACACTTAGGGCCACTCCATCTCCATCATGGGCACAAAAGTGTCACTCTATAGCTCCCATCACTGTGACTACATCTGCATTTTATCTTCTTTTCTCACTGCCAAAAAACCAATTCACTAGATAACTCCCTTCGTGACCACCATTTTTGTCTGCTCATCTAGTTTGGACTCCAGACTTTTCCCCTCTGGGCATTTCTCTCTCCATATTCCACATAACATAATATAGCATTTAGAGCCTGTATCCTCCTTCATCCAAATGGGCTTATTGTTCCCAATTGACCCTAAAGCATATAAAGCAGCCTGTCTAGACATTTATAGAATTATATCATGTCAAATCATATCACACCTTCTGCTAAAATTATCCAGCTCTTATATCATCTGCAGAGGTAATCCAATGTTCAAAATCCCAGACAACCAGAATGCCTAAGTGGGACTGAAATTTTTTGTCAGTTGAAGCATTTATATGTGTTCTAATTATAATACCAACTCAATGATCACCCAACACATGGGCAAAGCCTGGCTTGCCTATCCATTTTGAGGTTAGTAAGAAAAGATGACAAGCCCCTCTTATATGACAGGAGGACTTGTCCCAGATAATTATCTGAGTTCAGCCCAGCAGAGTTCTTCGCCAGCAGTAGCTTTGAAGAAAGGGGCTGTGATCCCTTATGTTATTTACGGTAAAGTAACACTAGCTGATGAAACTAACAGCCCCCAGATCTCACTGGTGTCGCAAAATAAAGGCTTATTTCTTGCTCACATCATCTTCTGACTGAGTTTTTAGTGGCCAGGCTTCAATGAGGTGGTTGGAGGACACAGGCTCCTACCATCTAGTCGGTTCCATAGAGTGGTTCCTCGGCATTTGGCCCAAAACAAGGGATGTTGTGCTGCTGTTTAATGGTCAGGTCTGTATATCGCATCATGTCCACCATGTTCCAGTGTCCAGAACCCAGACCCCATGACCCAAACCTAACTGCCAAGGAGGTTGGGAAACATAGTCTTCCAGTGTGTCTTGGCCAAGGAATGGGACTGGAGAGCAAAGAGCCAGCCTCTGCCTCACCCCTGGGGAGAAGACACTGAAGGCTGGATGCACCACCAGGTCAGATGGTTGGCATGTAGTTGCTCACTCCCCTGATTGGCTGGATGCAGTTATGTCCAACGCACGTGAGGCACTGGCACTCTGACATGAAAGGAGGGGCAGATCTTGGCCGTGAATTTGCAACTACTGGATGCTGTGTTTTCAAATAGGCTTAGGTATCTGTTGGTATCCCCGCCAGCCATTTCCTACCCACCCTCACTGCCACCCCAACATGCCTTTTCCCAGTTCTGGGAAGTGGAACACTGAGTATCTTTGCCTTCTACCTCCCCAGATACAGAGAAGACCTATGAAACTTTATCCTGATAAGAGGATTTTACTCCAGGGGTATGACTTTTGTTTGGAATAAGAGTGTCCTGTCTTCAGAAGGGATTCTCTCCCAAGACAATCAAGAAAGAAGCCTTCCCAAAGTGTTGAATCCTTATTAGAGTTGTAGTGGCAGATAAGCCCAAATGTGTATTCTTCTGGAACTTGGGAGGAGAAGCAGCAGTGAACTCAGCATTTAGCTATGGTTGTATGGAAGTCATTATGGGCATCAAGTCTGTTCACAAATATTAAGGTTCTCTTTCCAGAGACAGAGTAAGATTGCACTTCCCTAACACCTTTGATGTTAGCAGGGCTTAACCTGGTCAATAAAACGTGAGTGGAAGTGACCTACCATTTCCAGGGAGCAATTTGAGGAGCCAGTGCTTGACTTGTCCTGTCCCTTCTCCTTCCCCTCCTCCCCTCGGTGACGATCTGGTGATAATTTTTTCCCACAGGCAGTAGTCCTAGAGGCTCTTTTCCATAGAAACTGTGTCAGCCAGTGTCCCTCAGTTACCACAATAATCAGTGGCCCCTGATGACTCTCATTGGACATGTAGCCATGAGAGAAAAATAAACTTTGCTTCATTAAGCCAGTTGGAGATGGTTTGTTACCCAGAATAACCTAATGGGACCCAACAGATAGAGGTCTCATAGTTTCTTTTTAGGACATACTCTTTTTCCATTTACTTTTATTTTGTCATGAAAAAGTTCATGCTTGCAAATTGTAACATACACCACATCTATCTGATTTTTTAAAATGGGTGGTACGTAACTACCCACGTAACTACCACCCAGCTTCAGCAATAGAACATGACTAGCACCTCCAGATCCCACTGTGACTCTCCTCCATTGATTGTTCCTCCTTCACCCCCAAAAGATGACAATTATCTTATTTTCTGTTAAATTCATTTGCATTTCTTAATCATTTTATCTCACATGTATACTGCTTAGTTTTGCACATTATTTAACTTTATTCAAATGAAATCTTATTGTATGTATGTTCCTGGAACTTGCTTTTTTATCTAATTTTATGTTTTTAAGATTCATCTTTGCTGACACATGTGGTTATATTTTATTCACTTTGCTGCAGTTGTATGAATGTAACAATATGAATTTATCCCTTCTCCTATTAGATGGCCACCTGAGTTTCCTTTTGGGAATTTTTGCCATTAGAAACTACATTAATAAGAATAGTCTTGTATATAGCCTAATGCACGTATAAAGGAATCTCTGTAGGGTGTACACCTAGGAACAGAAATGCTGAGTTGTAGAGCATTCACATGCTCTACTTTACTACATAGGGTCAAATTGTTTTCCAAAGCGGTTGTACCAATTCACACTGCCACAAGCTTGTATGAGAGTTCGCTCTGCCTCATGTCCTCATCAGCACTTGCTATTGTCAGCCTTTTCTTGCTTGGCCCCTCTGGTGGGTGTAAGATAGTATCTTATTGTGATTTTCGTTTGCATTTTCTTTAGGGCATACTTTCATCACATGTGGATTCACGAAACCAAGGTGAGAAACCATTCAAAATGATTTGCCACAGGTATTCCTAACCACCAGATAAACTTCACAAGCCAGGGCCCTTCATATAGAAGAGGTCAAATAATTGAAAAAGGGCACAATTATTCATTTTTGGACTTAGAAAATACCAAAGGGCTTATGCTACTCTTTGTGTTGTAGGTTAACCAACTATTTCATAAATGGCTCCTTTTAGGAGTATTATCTAAAGCCATGGGAAAAGCAAATACATTTCAGGGAAATTATAAACATTTCTTTTACCTTACCAGATAAAGAGATTCAGTATAAATCCTAATGCACCCACTTGGCTGTACACAATTTATAGCAGATGAAGAGTTTGAAACACTTTCGTGTAAACAATCATAGATTTTTTTTGGAAGGTTGCTAAAAGGCTGTTTGACACTCTTTGTAAGTGGGGAGCATCTCAGGGTAAGAACTGGTTCTGGATAATATCAGAATTCATTTCCCACTGGCAAAGCAGCTCCATTAAGCACTGTTTTCATCTCTGAAGCCTTTACTTTTATGTAATGTTTACACCATTGACACCTTCTGTTACCGAATCCCTAATATAAACAAGGGATGTAATAAGCCCTAATGTATTTTAACAAAATTTTAAGAGATGTGGCTATGGGATGAGGATAACCAAATAGAGTACAGATTAAAGCAACATTTTTATAACACCTCAATGTCATATGATAGTGACAACTCTATAATCAAGTCCAGGAGAGAAACGTTCTCCCTGTGTTTATTCATCAATTAGAATTTGATGAACTCCAAATGTCATCTGACCAGCCAAATTCTGTAACACAGCCTTTCAGTAGAAAATTAGAAATTCAGCCCTACTGGAAGAGAGATACAAAAAGAAATTTACTTCGCTCCATAACATCTACAGACTCATGGCAACTGTGAGTTTCATGAACCACAGCAATAATACTACACGAAAAGCAAATCTTTGCAATTTACCACCTTAATGCAACAACGTAAGAAGGCGATCCATCCATGACCAAACTTTGCCTGATCTAGTTCAGCTGAAATGGGTTATTTGAAAGTCTGTATAGTAACTGTGTGACCAAACTAGATAGAAGGGGTGGTTCCTGATTAACTCTCATCTCCATGTCTTTGTTCTCTGTGAGGCTTACTGGTGTTCCATGGCAAAGATGCATGAGTTCCAGGCAGCAACAGTGATCATTCTGGGCTGAGGAAGGCTGGTGTACCGGAGAGCTATGGCTTAGATAAGTGCTACTTAGATAAGTGTGGTCCGTGGACCGGTGCATCCCATGAACTCATTGTTACCAGTCTCCAAAAAGAAAGGTCTACAAGCTGAGAGTAAGTGTTTAAAACTTCTGTAGCAAAGGACATTGCTGCAACAGCCCAGGGAATGATTACTGAACTCGCCTCATTGAACAGGATGTTTTACCAAAGAATGAGTTAGCAGCAAATTAAAAAAACTAAAACAGAACTTGTCTTTTGCCATAGATAGTTTGAGAAGCACTGGTCTAGGGGTATTGTTAAAATGCATATTCTTTTTTTTTTTCTTTTTTAAATGCATATTCTTTATCACCAATCCCAGAGATGCTGATTCGGTAGGTCTGTGAGTTTGCATTTCCACAAAGCTTCCTGGTGATGCCGATGTTGCTGGTCAGAACCACACTTTAAGAAGCAATGGTCTAAGACTTTCCCATGTTATTGCCTTCCACCCTCTCGGGGACTGGCACTAGGGTGACATTCTCCTGAATTTTTAGAGCTTCCTCTTTTACTGTTTGAAAACTTTGCCAATGCATTAACAGCCTGCACATGCTGGGTCTCATAACCATAGCAGGCAATGCCTTCTGGAAATAGACATGGATTATAACTGGCATTGGTACTAACCCGAATTTTAAGGCATATTCATAAAAGAGGAGAAAGGCTTGATCTCTGGTACTGAGAACCAACATTGCAAGCTGCTCAAGTAACTTTTTGACAACTCACCTGAGTTTCTTTGTTGCAGTTTCTGGAACACCAGCCAATCCAAGTTCTCTTCAAAATGAATAAAGCCTTGCACTTAGGAAATTAACTGCCTCTGAATGCAGTAGTCACCTTCACTCCTTCTGCGAATACTTAGGAAGAACAACCCAGCAGTTCCTGGGCCTCCTCAAGACTTCCGTCAGCATCACCGCCATAGAAATGCAGAAGATTTCTGCAAGGCAATTCCATTGCTAAGTCAATTATCACAGGATGTGGCAGGCTTTTAGAGAGATTAAACTGCCCTTTCTCCTGAAAGAAAATGACGAATTCTCAAATGGGACCCCTCTAATACCCATTTGCTCAGCTACAGTGTACTCCTGTTGGCCAATTACCTAGTTTGATCCACATTGTGTGAATAAATGCCTTAGAATTCTGGGAAGGGATGCACAATTCAAAGAGCTGCTTGTGCACGGGAAAGGGGCCAGTGTCCTTGGAAGAAAATGTTCTCCAGAGTCTGAGAGATTGAATCTAAATCGAAGCCATTTAAAGAAAGTTCTGAAAGGGTAAGTTTTAAATTCTGAGTGTATATTAATGGCAGTGATTCCTTTACTTTTGATTTAGCTGCAACTAAATATCTGTGTATGCACTCCTGTGCCTCAGTTTCCTCATCTGTAAAATGGGGATAATTTACCTCATAGAGTTGTGGTAAGGATTACATATCCTTGAATGTATAAATGTCAAGACTTGAAAATAGTCCCTGGTTCATAGTAAGTGCTACATAAAATTTCACAGGATCTCATAGTTACAAAGGGTCTTAGTGAGTTGGTGCACACCCACCCCACCTTACACCACTCCACCCCCACTCCTGGTAATTTGCATCCACTAGCCTTGATATGAATATTATACATGAGGGGGTACACTGATAAGAGTATATGCCAACTCTGTCCAATAGAAATATGAGTCATATATGTAATGTTCAAAGTTTTTAAAGTAAAAACTAATTTTAATATTTACAGATTTAACCCAAGCATCCAAAATATTATCATTTCAACATTTTATCAATTTAAAAATTATGAATGAGATAGTTTACATTTTTTTTCACAATAAGTCTTCAAAATGTGTTTATTTTTCATTGGGAATATTTAGTAAGTATTTAGAATTCATAAATACTACGTTTGAAAAAATACCTTCAAACATACTTGAAACTGAAGTGAGTTTTCTAATAACTGAATTTAATTTTTTCAGCTTAAAATTAAATAAAATTATAAATTCAGTTCATCAGTCGCACTGGCCACATTCCAGGTACTCAAGAGCCATGTGTGACCAGTGGGCACCATATTGGATAGCACAGGTGCAGACTCTGAAGATAGGCCTGCCACTTAATCATACGGCCCTGGGCAAGTTATAACTTTTCTTAGCCCCAGTTTTCTGATTTACAATTTACATATTGTTGTCAATTACTAAATTTACATATTTAGTAATCGACAACAAAACAAAATATAATATCTACCATAAATTGTTCTGTTCAGTATTTGAGGTAATACATCAAAAATGTATAGCACGGTGACTAATAGGTTGTAGTAAATCTTCAATGAATTGTGAGTACTTTTTCCTTAACATTTAATTAGGAAAAAATTGAAACATCAAGAAAGCTAAAGAATTGTACAGTGAATCCCCATATACTCACTACCTAGATTCTACAATTGTTAACATTTGATTACATCTGCCTTATTGCATTTCTATCTATATATCCATTCATCAGTCCATCTTACTTTCTCATGTATTTCAAAGTAAATTACAGACATCAGTGCAGACACCCCTAAAACTCCAGCATGTGTATGATTAACTAAAGTTCAATATTTGTCTTTCTTTCTTTCTTCCTTCCTTTTTCTTTCCCTTTGACTTTCTGTCTTCCTGCCTTATTTATTTCTAGATGAAATATGTATATAGTGAAATGTACAAATATTAAATGAACCATTGGATGAATGTTGACAACGCATATATCCTATGTAAGCCAAATCTCTATCAAAATAGAGAATGTGTCCATTATCCCAGAAAGTTCCCTCATACCCCTTCCTCATTAATCTTAGCCCTCACTGCCCTGCTCTCCTCCCCGGCAATCATTGTTCTGGGTATCTGCTACAGAGAATTTCAAATAAATGGAATCATACAACATATAGTCTTTTGTGTAAGGCTTCTTTCACTTAGCGTAATGTTTCTGAGATTCATACATGTTGTTGCATGTCTACTCCTCTTTGTTACTGAGTAGTAACTGTGGCTACTTTTAATCAAGAGAACTCCTGACCTGACCCAATCCCCTCCTGCTCCAAGCAGCCTATTCCATTCTTTCACAGCTCAAAAAATTCTGCATTCTGTCCATCCAACATGGATCTTACTAAAGCTTCCAGCTTTTGATGCTAGCTCAGCTGCTTAGAATTGATGAAAGAAAGTACTTTTTCATGTGAAATTCTTTAAAATTTATGTAGTTGTTAAAGAAGTTCTTCTGAGCCTTCCATGGAGAAGGCCAAACCTTCCTAATTCCTTCAACTCTTCGTACAACCACGTTTTAGGTTCTTCCAACTTCCTAGTCATTCTCTGTGTACATACTTATTTGTTTTCTTGTTTACTGAATATCTTCCCTATTGAACTACAAATTCCATAAGGCAATATTATGTCTATTTTATTCACTAATACACACCTAGCACCTAGTACAATGCCTAGCAATTAGAAGGCTCTCAACAAATATTTGTTGAATGAATATGTGAATAAAAGAAAGAAGGAACTCACCTTTAAGCATGTTTAATTTTGTCTATATTTTAGTATATACGGGACAGCAGGCAGATGTTGGAGAGAGGCAGATCCAGGAGCTTGAAGACAACACCAAATTCCAAGAGACACACCTCAGGGAATGCAGCAGCCAAGTGCACTGACTTCATTCCTGGCAAGTAGTACAACCTTGAGTCCTTGTCTCCATTGCTTTTCCGGTGAGTTGAATGGATAGCCTAGACCCAAATCTGAAACTTCCCTTTAAAACTAAAATCAATTTGCTATATGGCCCTAGAGAAAGAGAAAGAGGAGGAGAATTCCACCCTCATGCCCCTCTCCATCATGGCTGAGATTGGATTTTCTTGCCATTTGGGAGAGAGGGAGCCTCAGAGATGGATTTGATTTGATTCTGTAAAAATAAACAAAAATTGCATTTATTAAGCACTTGAGATGATGCAGTAAGACTTATAAAGCCAAAGAGGAGAGAAGAGAGGAATAAGAGAGAGAAATAAAGGTGTATCAAAGGGAGGAGAGAGAGAAAGAAGAGAATGAGGGGAATCAAGACAAAATGTGCCAAGAGTTCAAATGGAAACCCACAGGCATAGATCTAAATAATGAAGAGACTTAAAACAAGTTAAAGTGTTCAATGATACGTAGTGCACACCCTTCCTTGACAAATACATATTCACAACGATAGAATGAAAAACTTTGTTTAAAACTATGGTTTTCGTATGACGGAAAGTCAACAAACTCTCAAAGATGACTGGATTTAATTATATTGTGCACGTCTGAGTGTTTTCTTGATGGGCTAGTGATGTTTGACAAGATCTCTCTCATTAATTCACAAATATGTTCCACAAAATTTGTTTTTCTTGCCTTTGTTTCAGCAAAACACTAATTACATTATAATCAACACTTTCATATGTTTTATGTTCTCTTGACAGTAATGCTAAAATAGACACATTTCCTGAAATATTATAGTTCTAAGATAATTTTTTAATTATTAATTTCTATGTAGAGAACATTCACTCTGCTAGGGCAGTAGTAATGGGAGTTTTTAATAAAATTCCTTTATATATCATGAGCAAACATTTTATTTGGGTGTGTATAATAGATTATTGTTACCACAAAAAATTACAGAATATTTTAGTTTCAACATATAAATTGTCATATCATGGTTTTCACCACCTTTTAAAGCAATGTCTAGAGCCATGTAATAATGTTAACACTTCTCACATTGTAGCTAGATCCACATCTATACAGACTAGTAGTAATTGGGAGTATTTAATTTTAGAAAATGTTCCTCATACTCCACATACCAGTGCTCTGAACACTGCTCTAATGTGTAAATACCTCTGGAACCACAAAGAGAAATAAGAAAGTGGATGCTCAGCAGTACTGGGAAATGATATTTGATCACACGAGACTCCATCACATTCATGCTATCAGAGAGAAATTATTTGACAAGTTAATTAATTTCTTTTCTCTTACCTAAGAGCTTCTGCCGCCCAAATCTTTTCCCACACTCCAAAGTAGTGCTTGTTTCTGATGTAAGTAGCAGTAGTACAGCTGTAAGACTTCATGGCCTTTGGATGGAGTCACCTTTTTTATCTTAAGAACAAAGGGCAAGGAATGAGAAGTAATTCTCTGGAGCCTGAACGGTGTTCGTTCTGAGGGTGGGTGTTTAGGTGGTCCCAGCACTGACCACTGGGTCCCAAGAGACAGAGATGCTCACGTGCTCTTGAATGAGTTCATTTATGTCTCTTTGTGATAAGCAGGGCCCTCTAAAGTGTGAGGGCAGGGAAGGACCCCTTTTGTCTGGCGCAAGCTCAGTACTGAGAGGAAGGGGGAAAGAAGAGAAGGAAAACGACTAAAAGAAAACAGATGAGAAAGAATCGAAAGCTCCCTCTCACACCCCACAAGAAATTAAAGCTTCTGTCCTTAACAGTCTCAGTCAAAAATACCCCAAGGCTCAAGAGCACACAATGAAAAGCTGTCAGCTCACCTACATTCAAAGAGCTTCCATAAACAAATACATATAAATATGTACATATATACCTTATATAATTATATGAGATCATTTAAATATATAAATATGTAAATATATATTTCCTTTTCTTGTTTCTCTATCTATAGCAAATGGGATTATTTTCTTCTTCCCAATTCCTTCTGCTTTCACCCGCTTAGAAGCTCTCCACTGATGGAGTTTCTGAGGGAGGCAGGTGTAGGATGGTGGAGACACAGACATCATATTTGGCATTACTGCTTCCCAGATTTAGGATTTCAGAGAACAGTAGGAAGTTTTTTGGTGGAGGTAATTTTAGGAATCTATATGGAATTGACCATTTGCCGAAGGGGAAGGGTAAAATAGGCCACTGAAAATTGACATCAACCATCTGTGATTTCCATCAATTCAGGAAAAAGACATTTCTAATACATATACACACAATCATGAAGAACATATACTTAAAGACGATTTCTTTAAATTGATTCATTTTTAAAAACTTATTTTTGTATTTATTTATTAATTTGTCTGTTTGTTCATTCACTTGTTGCCAAGATTTAGTGAAAGCCTCATCAGGAACATGGACTTATCCTTGGACCAACTTTCAGGATCCAGTGCCCGGGCGTGTTCAACCAGGCCGACCCAGTGGAGCTCTTGTAAGGTCTCTGCTGAAGGACACTGCAGAGCTCCGATACCGCAGGACACATTTTTTTTGTGAACAGGTTGGTGAGGAATTTATTACCAAACTGATAGAAGTGTAAAAATCATTGAGTATGCATTCGCTTCAAGACATCCCTATGATTGCATCAGCTAATCAAGATGGTTTTGGCTTATATAGACATTAAGCATAAGAAAACAGTAGTATATTCATCTAAATTGAACCAGGTGCTAGGGAAGGAAAGAGAAAGGAACACAGATGTTGCTGTGAGAAATATGGCCAGGTGAGCAGCACAAACTTTGTGCTCCGAGGGCCCAGATGACAGCTGGATGACAACAGTCCCAGAAGAATGACTAAGGGCTTTTTGCTCAGCCTGAAAAATGAAAGGCTCACAGAATGTTGACAAGTGGCTTATAATCCCCTCTAAAAAGGAGGTCTGGTGTGGAACTATGTGGTCTCTGGACAGAACTGCCAGGGAGTGGCCGGCCACTGAGCTCCCACTGCTCCTCTGTAGAGGTGTGAAGACCTAAGGCATCCCAGGTTACAAGGCAAAGGCACACTGGTCTCCTAGGATAACAGGGCTCTGGGTGCAGCCCACAGGTGCGCTTTCGTCATGGGGAAGAGGTGAAGCAACTGATCACGGGCTGTCGAGGTCAAGTTGGGTAGACTGATCACGCCACTTACTGGTTTTAGACTTTGGGCCAATCCCTTCACTTCCCTGAACCTCCATTTCAACGCATTTAAGTTGGGCTGATGCCACCTGCATAACTATGTTACTGCAGGAATTAAATGTTATAAATGCAGCAACCTACTCAGCAGATATTGTTTCTTTTTTAATGATATATATTCCTACCTGAATATGAACATCCCATAATTTAATTCTCTCAAAATTTCTATAGGCCCATCATCTCATAAAATGATTACCACCAGCAAAAAATAAGGAAGAGGAAGTACATGCCCGTCATCTTGGAAGACGAGTTGTCGCCCAACGGCTATGTGCATCTGCGAAGGCCTGTGACACTCCAGAACTCCCTCGGCCTCCTCTGTGACACTCCAGCCAGCCCCAGCGTCGTAAGCCAAGCACGAGGATTCCTGGTACAGGAAACAGCCCGACTCATCAAGGAGAACATTCAGAGAATGGCTATTTGCTGGGCCCCTTTTCCCCTTCTGTCCCTACTTGCCAGCTCACGACAGCTGAGCTGTCCTATCAAACACACACTAGCTGCCTTCACACACATGCAAAAAAATCAAACCGGAGCTCCCACTCTACAGCAGAGCCAGACTCCTTCCATTTATAAGCAGCAGCCCAACAGGCAGGCTTCATTCTGTAACTTGCATTTCTCAGCAAGCCTTACCAGAATAGAGATGTGTTCATACTTGCCTGTCACCCAGATTGCCACTTCAAAAAGAGAGTGATAGACAAATATGGTGCAACTCGTTTATAACATTTTCCCATGTTTAACTTCCAAATTTGAGTCTTAAACACAGTTGCCAAAAGCAATTTTTTTCTAAATGCAATATTTTTTTTTCTTGGTCTCCTAAATGGTAACTGAATTTTTTTCCCTTACTGTTTCTTCTTAGAGGCCAAGAGTTTTTCACTCCCGGTCTGCAATACCCTGCCTGGGCTATCGCCCAAATGGCTTTCACACTTAAAGTGAGAAAGAATTAAGTGCTTCTGCGATTGAAAAATGGTTCTGTCTGCCTTGGAGTCACAAAGCTCTTTTTTACTGAACTAGTGCTTGGAGACTTCAAAGCTAAGTGTACCAATGAGCCTATGATGGTGCCAAGAAAGTAACTAGAGAACGAAGAAAATCCCATCATTTCTCTTGCAGGAGCACATCCAGGTCTATTCACCTAGTTTTTACCCCAAATGTTTTTGGGGAGGGAATTTTCACAGCTGTTTTCCTATGAATTTAGTACAACCTCAAAAATTGCCATTTTTATATCATTTCCACACCAGTAAAGCTCGTTGTTGACCACATTTTCATAATACGTTAGTTAGAAGATTTCACCTGTGCTTCCAATAGGGTATTGAACTTACCTTAATGCAAGGAAAAGGCAGTTACACTGATCTCTAGCATTGATTATTCTTTTGAGAGGGCTAAACGAACCCCTTGCAGGACACCTGGTCCTGGCCAAAATGTCCATTGAGACAGTTGGCCCATGATTCATTAAATAATACAAACATTTAACTTTGTTAAAATTTTATTTACATTATTTTTATTGTAATTGGAGAGGAAGTTTGGATTTCACATTCATTCTTGTTCTTCCTCATCATGAAGTTCAGCAAGGTTACTCTTAAATTGATAAGCAATTGCTCTTAAGTATATACCCACCTGATTATTGGCTTTGCGTTTGTTTTATTTGTGAAGCGTTTTAGTTACGTGAATTTGATTTTGTCTGTATTACCGTGAAGTTGGTGGCCATATTTGAGTGCGACCACCAAGAACCTGGGTGATATAAATCGTTCATTGCTTTGCTGTTCACCTTTTAACACTTCAGTACATCTCCAAATGAAGGATGATGTACTACCACCAGCTTCTGAAATGTGGTATGCCAGATTTCCAGTGCATTGTTTGTCCTGTTGCTCAGTACTGATGTATGAACATTCCTAGTTTCTGGTAGAAATCTTGGAGCTTCTGATCTTCTTCTGCCTCTTCCATGCCTTCTATGAACACATATCCTCTCAACATAATCCACTAGGTCACCTAAATTTCCTTCTGCATTCTCCACAATGTACTCAAAAGTTTCACTTACATCTTCTGAAGGTACAAATGGAAGTCCAAACAACTTAGATGCACACTTCTGGGTGTTAGTTTCCATTCTCATGTACTCGTGTGTTAGACCCAAAGCAGATATTTTTTGCCAGAGTGATGGTGAGGAGTGAAACGAGCATCCTTTTACTTGTGCATTTGGTAGGAGTAGTCAAATCGCATTCACATTTGCAATCTCAAAACCCCTCATGCATGTATTTTTTCAGATGATTTTCCCTTATAGGTTATTACAAAATATTGAGTATGGTTCCCTGTGCTATAAAGTAGGTCCTTGTTGGTTATCTATTTTATTTTTTTAACATCTTCACTGGAGTTTATTTACAATGTTGTGTTAGTTTCTGCTGTATAACAATGTGTGTGTGTGTGTAAATGAATCACTGTGCTATACACCTGAAACTAACACAACATTGTCAATCAACCATATTTCAATAAAAAAAAAAAACCATCATGCACAATGAAGGGTTAGTGTCAAGATTTCTTTCCCGTGTAAATATAAGTACTTTCTCAAATATGTATCTTCTCGCCTTTTCATTGTTAGTGCCTAAATTAATGATATAGTATAACCCAATTCCACACTGTGCACAGGAAATAACTGAGGGAACTGTGTTGGTTGCCATCTTGAAGATGCCATCACTGAATAACGTGGAACTGGCACTCAAATATCGAATATTGTCAAAGTTGTGTAAATAAGAATTCTTTTGTCATCTTGAGCACGGGAATTGTGCATAAGAAATGGTTCTCTGCGTGTGGTCACTTTATACTCTTCTGAAATTTCAATTCCGTGCGATGAAGTTGGGTTTGGAGGTTGACGTCTGCTTTGAATTCTATTTACTTGCCTCTTTAATGAATTTCTTTGTGGTAGCATTAATGGGACCTCTTCATCCTGGACGTTATGGAGATTTCTTCAAAGTACCTGCAACGTTGTTGCATTTCATTCCTTCTGAGCATCCTTTTAACCTCTTCTGGGTTTTCCTTACTTCCCCTTCAACACCAACATTGTGTTGATGTTTCTCTGTCCCATCTTGGATGATTATTTTATCCAAATCCTGACAAGTTGTACGCTGGGCTCTGCAGATTCTCCTCTCTTCATAGCACCAAGTAGCTTTTACTCCTATCTCTGTTAAAGGAATGGAAATGGTAAAAACCATTATAATGCGACATTGGCTTTCCTTCTTGTAAGTAT